TCTTGGCTTTGACTCAGGTCCCGAGCTCAAGCCCTGCACTGGGCTCCATGCTCAGCAGTAAGTCTGCTTGAGACTCTCTCTCCCTCTGCGCTTCCATTGGCTTGTGCTTCTTCTCTCTCTCTCAAATAAATAAATAAAATGTTTTAAAAAGTGAAATCTTGAGAATGGAAGTTGTGATATGCTCCCTGCTATAAACATGAAGAAATAATAAATTATTATTTCCTCTTATTATTATTTCCTCAATAATAATTATGGTCCTCTTTCCTAAAGTCTAGAATCTTAGACACGTACAAGTCATCTGGGTGGCTCAGGGGCTAAGCATCTGTCTTTGGCTCAGGGCGTGATCCTGGGGTACGGGATCAAGTTCGACATCAGGCTTCCCACAGGGAGCCTGCTTCTACCTCTGCCTATTTCTCTGCCTCTCTCTCTGTGTCTCTCATGAATAAATAAATAAAATCTTTTAAAAATATAAAGTAAAATAAAATCTGAGACACACAAAATAAGTATAATCCAGTCTGATCAGAAAAACCACTTTCAAGGCAGAAATAATACCTCAATAGTTATGACAAACTAAGCATTAAGGGAATGGTTTGAGTGCAGGTAGTTGAAATATTCTAAGGAAAAAAAATAATTTCATTAAGAGATAATTCCTTTCCCCAGGTGTGTGTACAAAACTAGCCAAAACCATCTCCCCAGAAAGACTAATCATAACTGTTAAGTTAAAAATATCCTTTGGAGGGGTGGTGCCTGGGTGGCTCTGCAGTTCAGCTGCCTTCTGCTCAGGGCTTGATCCTGGGATCCTGGGACTGAGTTATGCATTAGGCTCCCCACAGGGAGCCTGCTTCTCCCTCTGCCTGTGTCTCTGCCTCTTTCTTGGTGTCTCTCATGAATAAATAAATAAAATCTTTAAAAAATATATCCTTTGTATCCCCCTTTTTTTTAAGGAGGAGAAAAATTGCTGTAATTTGGTTAAAATCCTCAGGATATGCAGCTCTAAGAATTGAACCCCCAGTAACCAATACTAATCAACTCAAAAGAAAAAGCATTAGTATCTGTGCAGTCCCCAGTCCAGGAGAGAACCTCACCACAGTTCATGAAAAGTCCCAAAGACATAGACGCTATACCCAGGGGAGAACAAACAAATTTGGTCAACAGTTTCAAAATAAGCATAACTATCCTTCCAGAACAGTCTAGGAAGACTTCTGAAATTTTATTTTTTTAAGATTTTATTTATTTGTGAGACAGGGAGAGAGGGAGGGAGGGAGGGAAAGAGGGAGGGGGGATCGAGGGAGCAAGCAAGAGCAGGGGGAGAGGAAGGGCCAGAGGGAGAGGGTAAAGTAGACCCAGCTGAGCAGGGAGCTAGAGCTGAATGCAGGCCTCAATCCCAGGACCCTGAGATCATGACCAGAGGGGAAGGCAGACACTTCATCGACTAAGCCACCCAGGTGCCTCAACTTCTAAAGTTTTAGACTACGTTTTCTTAACAGTGAAGAAACGTAATAAAAGAAAATAATGGTATATTTGGATAACATTTACTTAGAGAATAACCTATTTTTTAAGGAGCTTATAGGAAAGTGATATGCATCCTTGGTGTTAATATTGCTGATTTTGCTATCCATATAGGTAAAAAGTCAGAAAACCAGCCTGTTGTTTAATCATTTCTCAAGTTTAGAAGTTAAAGATTCCCAAATATCTGTATAATTTCTTCCTCAAGATCCCACTGATTTATCCCAAATGAAAAATTTAACATTTATAAGTAATAATTATGTAAATATATCATCCAGAACTGAGTGTGCCTCAGCTTGTTGAGTACTTCCTTTCACAGTAGTCTCATGGCTTCATTATAACCCAAGTCTGACACTTACATTGACCAGCTGGTCAATTCTAAGCTACCACCAACTATGTAAAGTGTCCAAAGCATCTCCTCAGTCCTGCAAAAGTGTCCCAAGCCTATCCCTGTAACAAATTCATTTATAGGGCCCTGCCAACACCTCAAAATCAAAGCCAGGGCAACAAGGGAGAAAAAGGAACTTATATGAGAGGATCAGACAATGATGACTTAGAAATTCTAAAATACAATTTTATTCATCTTGTTACTTCTCCCCCTCCACTGTCCCACTCTTTATCCAAGACTACCCTCAACTAGGACCCCTCTCTAGCACCTCCGATCTCCTCCCAGACCTCTCTCGAGCTGTTCCTCTAGCTGTCATAGTATTTCTCTACTGCCTTTCATTCTAATTCACACACATGCTTCTATGACCAATGCAGTAATTCCTACAGACTGACAGAGGTGAGGAAGAACACAAATAATGATAACAATGGTTTCCTAGATTGAGTTTACAGACATTATTTGCATACATTATTTAAATTCTCATAAAAATATTAGGAAACTTGATGGGGACTTTTTAGTAGGACTAAAAGTATAATTCCTTATGGAACTTAGTATCAAGTCACACAACTAGCAAGTGACTCATTCAGGATTTGAAGTCAAACTTCTTTAGTTCCAAAACCAATACTTTTTCTTCTATATCCAGTGAAAAGAAGGGTTATTGAAGCCAACTGAGGAGAGAACTTCTATACAGAGAAGGTGGTCACTGGTATCTAAGGATGCTGAAAGATCAGAAAATGAGGACTGAGAGAAAACTTTGGCATATAAATTATGGTCGGTTGGTGAGTTGTCTGAGCAGAAGCTTGGGTAAACAGGGAGTTAGGCATCGGTTTGAAAAGATAGTAAATACAATGTATTGACCATCCAGTGTGTGAATTAGAATGAAAAGCAGTAGAGAAATAATATGGCAGCTAGAGGGAACAGCTCGAGAGACGTCTGGGAGGAGATCGGAGGTGCTAAAGAGGGGTCCTAGTTGAGGGTAGTCTTGGATAAAGAGTGGGACAGTGGAGGGGGAGAAGTAACAAGATGAGTAAAATTGTATTTTAGAATTTCTAAGTCATCATTGTCTGATCCTCTCATATAATTTCCTCTTTCTCCCTTGTTGCCCTGGCTTTGATTTGAGGTGTTGGCAGGGCCCTATAACTAAATTCGTTACAGGGATAGGCTTGGGATATTTTTGCAGGAGTGAGGAAATGCTTTGAAAAGAAATCTAGGGGAAAAAAAAAGAAAAGAAAAGAAATCTAGGGATGCCTGGGTAGCTCAGCGGTTTGGCACCTGCCTTTAGCCCAGGGCATGATCCTGGACACCTGGGATCGAGTCCCACATTGGGCTCCCTGCATGAAGCCTGCTTTCTCTCTCTGCCTGTGTCTCTGCCTCTCTCTCTCTCTGTGTCTCTCGTGAATAAATAAATAAAATCTTTTAAAAAAAGTAAAGAAAAGAAATCTAAATCTTATGAGTCAGAAGAGAAATCCAGACTAAGGACACCTACTTAAGATCAATCAGTATTTAAGAGAATGTCTGAGCATGGTCAAGGAAAAGATGACTCAGGGAAATGACTAACATGAGACAGGACTTAGTACTTAGATGTTCCAGAAACCCTCAAACTCAGTCTTAAATTAAGCTCAGCATCTTCAGAACTACTACATTTCATTAATTCTAAGATACATATTTTTTTCAAATTTTAACATTTCTGAAACTGGGATATAGACATGATGGTGTGTTATGATTTAACTGGCAATACTGTTTCCTTTCTTAGTGGCAAATAAAACAATGGCACTTGAGAACTTCCGGTTTCTTGGATTTGAAAAAATAAGGTAACTTCCTCCTAAACTTAATTCTTAAATTTAAATCCCATAAATCATCAAGATCTAATTTTCAGAATAATATCTCCCTTATACATATGTACTTTCCCTTTTCCCTACTACCAATCTAGTTTACGGTTATATCAACTTTGTGCAGATCAAACACCCTCCTCACTGGTCTCCCCAAACCAGTTTTCCTTATTCCAAATCATCAAGCGTAGCACCATAGATCAAACTTTCAAGACCATCATCAGACTCACACATCTCTCACTTTTGAAAATCAGCTTCTCATTGTGCATCAGCAAAATCCCAAGCTGGTTGGAAGACTTCCACGATTTTGCCTGAGTTGACCTTTATATACATTGTTTATCAAGGCGAGCCCCTCTGCTCTCATCCACTTCTTCTGTTCCCAGGCCTTTAAACGCACTACCTTGTCTGTCAAACGCAACCAGTCCTCCCCTTGAAACACACTCCACCCTGAAGACCCTCATATCTAAGGCCAGGATTCACCTCAGGCTTCCTGATCTCCATGAAATCTCCCTCAGTTCTTCCAAGCTGTATCCTCCTTCGAGATTCATAGCATGCGCTCACCTTAAACATGGTCCTACTTAACTTTTCACGGGAGTAGGTCTTATTTCCACAAGTATATTAAAAGGATCAGAGGAGACTGTATTTTGTATTTATGCAGTGTAGTGTGGTGGTTCATTACACAGCCTAGCTACACAGGTCTGCTTCTCTGCTCAGAATCTTTCTGTGTAATCTCTCTGTGATTCAGTTTCCTCATTGTAAAAATAAGTTGTTGTGAGAATTAAGTGATCATGTAGAACTGTTACTGATAATACAAACACTTTATAAATACCTCCTAACTGCCATTGTTTTTATCAATAAGAACAATCACATAAGTGTTGGATATGTAACACAAGTGGTAGCTATTACTGTCATTTAGAATCTCCACATTCACAGTACACGGAATAGGAACAGAGCATGGACTCAAGGCTAATTTGATGGAGGAAGGCAGGAAAGGTCTCAGCAGAGAAGAAGCTTTTCAGCAGAGTGTCTATTTCTGATATTCTAGCACACAGCTGAATAAATCTGTCTAGGCCTGGCAAGAAATACCAATGTTGGGGTCTATGAAGACTCAACGGTCTCTGAGGGAATTAAGAGGAAAACAAGAGGAAGCAGAGCTCTATGTTCTTAGACCCACACATATCACATACACCTGCAACTAGAGTTTTGTAGTTCATTTTGTAGCTCAGACTGTCAGGTGAGGGAGAAAACTTTTCCTGAGATTAGGGTAAACAGGTACTTACTGAGCATGCCTCTGTAATTGAGGTCCATATCCCGGCTCTCTGATCGAACTTTAATAGCATCCAGAATAGCATCAGGAGACAACAGTCCTGAAGGCCTCACAACGTTCAGCAGTTCAGTGAGGCTCATCAGAGGCAAACGCACAGCCTGCATGATTTCAGCATGATTCTCCTTTGAATTGTGCTTACACCAATTTAACAAAGCTAGAAAAATATCTTTCTCAGGAGCTGCAAATGAATCTCTTAATACGATGTTTAAAAGTGCTGTCTGAAAAGGATAAAAAAAAATCCATTTATTATGGAGCTCAGCCATATATCCAATCAATCAGCAAAACCTCACAGAACTGCAAGTATCACTTATATCTCAACAACTCTTTGACCATCTTCTTTCTTTAATCTTTGTGCCATATACTCTCTTGCCCACCAGGGCTCCATGAATAGCCATGGGCATCTTGTACCACTACATCAAATGTCTAGTCTTTCTAACATATCTGCACCTATCTTCAATAAAACAAGAAGAAAAATGGCAACATGAGGAGCTGTCATTCCATGCAGGTTCTTCAGGAGAGTTTAAATTTATAAGTCAGTAGGATACATTCAGTATTTAAAATTCGACATCTTTTGTTTCACAATATTATTGCACTCCCATATTTTTGATTCTCAGATTTCTAGACTCATCTCCAGTAACACTGGTGCAACCCTCAAAGACCCTTGCTTCCAAAAAATTAAGTAGGATAGTCAAAATCATGGTTTACACTCAAGCCAAAATATGTAGCTTTTCAAATAGGTTTTTTTCATTTGAAAATATTCAGGTCCTAGGAGGAACACAAAAAGGGAAAGAAGAGACCAGAGTTCAGAGAGAGATCTAAGGAAAAGACTTTATTTTTGAGCCAGCTGGCAGCAGTGGGGGTGGTGGGGGTGGGTGGAGAGGATGACTTAAAATGACATCCTCTTGTATAAGTTCCTTTTTCTCCCTTGTTGCCCTAGCGCTGATTTGAGGTACTGGTAGGGCCAATGACACAGGAAATCTCCTGTATGAATTTTCTCTCTCATAATAACAAATTATTAGTTGCACCTCTCTGTGGGAGAAATACAAAATGAAAAAATAGTACGCAACACCACAAAAAACCTGACAGTCATCACTTTGAAAACACCCATTCTGCAGCACAGCCTCTTTTAGACACAGAACCAATTTACCTCTCTCTTATATGGTCTACATAGAGTCTTAGTAGCTGGAGGCAGATAGCTAGACAGATGACCCCTTCCAGATCAAGGATTTTTATTTTTTAATTTTTAGTCTATGGCTCTTCTACTGCACAGATATAAATAACACGATGCATGCCTGTACTTGCAGATGATGACACACCTTAGAAAGGGAAAGGAAGCCTTCACTTGAGAGCACCTCCTGAGCATTTCTGTCCATAAACATGCAGCACATGCAAGTTAACTTGGGAAGTGAGTAGAGGCTGGCAACATCAAAAGTCATGCAGACATTCTGAATGTTAAGTATGGTGCAGAGATACTCAGAGGTAGAATCCTCCAGCTCTGGAAATCCGTATTTATGAGCCAGGCTCAGAAAGTCCAGCAACACCTCCTCCTTCTCATCTGTCAGCGTTGCCCGTCCAGTGTAGATGTATTTAAGCAGCATTGTGAATGCTTCTGCAGTGGTGTCTTGGAGAGGGATTTCTGCTTCAGGTTGTGATTCTCTCATTCCACCATACAGTAATGCTCTACACATCAGAGAAGAAATGCATGAGGAAAACCTCAAATAAGATTTGCTACAATATTATGAAATCATGGTTATCAGCATTATGCAAACAAATTTGTTTAATGACACAAAGATTCGGGTGAAGAAATGCACAGTAATCATTTAAATAATTCTCTGAAGAAAAAGAAATGGTTTATAAACTATTTTGGATTAATTCTATAAACAATTGGGCTGATGAAATATCCTGAGAATTCAAATAGGTAATAGACATTCATTAAATAGAAAGATGAAAGAGCTCTTGCAAAATCCATATAAACATATTAAAGGTCAATAAGGCTGTTTAAAAAGTAAAACTCTGTAGGAAAAAACATAATCAGATAAAAACAATTACACACAATCAGGTGCCATTCTCCCCTGTCAGAATGGCAGAAATTAAAAATCCTGTTAACTATTCAGTGCTGCAAAAGCAATGAAATAACAGGTTCTCCCATGCACTGCTTTGAGTCTATAAATAGGCACCCCTTTAGGCAAAGTAATTTAAGTAATTTCTATTCAAATCTAAAATGGGCATGTCCTTCAACTCAGTAATTTCACTGTTAGGATTCAATTCTAGAGAAAAAATACAGCAAAGTAAAGATACACAGCAAAGTAAAGATACATGTATAAAAATATAGAGTGAAACAATGGAAACACTGAACAAAAATCTTAAATGTCCATCAACAGAAACATAGTTAAGAAACTGTGAGATACACTTCTGTGCAGCCATTACAGAGATTAAGTAGCTCAAAATATACAGTCTTAGAAAGATAACCAGGATATAGTATATTAGTCAAGTTGCAGACCTGTATGTGTTGCATGGGAAAAAGTATATACCATGTACTTATATGTGTACCTACATAGGTGTATACAGATATATCTATTTACATTGAGAAAAATTGGGGGAAATTCATCTTATACTCTTAACAGAGGCTGTCTCTGGGAAGTGTGATTAGAGGGCTGGGAGGGAAGGACTGCCATTTGTTACTTTATAAATTAAATATAAAATTGGGGATGGGATTATGGGTGATTTGACTTTTTTTTTCTCCCTGTCTTTTCAGTAATTTTTCAGATTAAAAAGGAATCCTATTATTGCTTAACTGATCATCTAAAAAATGAAAACTAGACAATCCAGCCAGGTAATGAATTTGAATTTCTACCTTTATTACTGTCAAAGGAATAATATGAACCAATTAATAAGCCTCTATTCCATCAGGAAAGAAAAGAGGACAAAGGAGGAGTACAGAAAAGGAAGCATAAAAGGCAGAAAGAAAATGTGTAAAAGTGAAAAGAGAATAAGGGGGAAAAAAGAGATTCTCCCCTGCTTCTAAGATTGTCATAGTAGGACTAGCATTTCAAGGATTCCCTCCATACCTATTGGAATTCCTCCCCACTCTCCTCCAGGCCTTAGCATTTCTGCTTGCCTCAGGGAAATAGTAGAAACCATCCAAGAAGAGATCCATGGATATTCTGAGCATATTTCTTCACTGGGTTATACTATGCCCCAAAAAACTCTTGAAGGTTTTCATTAATCCAGAGAACATGGCTCTAAAATTACTAGATTAAAAAATACTTTTCTAGAAAGATCTTGCCAAGATTTACTACTCCGCAGTGTGGTCCTTGGTACTCATGTAAATTCTCAATGCTTTAAAAGTAGTTTTGATGAGGCTCCCTTGGAACACTAAATATGAACCCCCAAATTGTGAAAAATTCCCTCTATACAGTCAGTTGTCCTTATCTGGGAAGTGACAGGCTCTAAGACAATAATGAGAGAAGCCTCTCCTAATTTTCCTTTGCAATATGGACAGTGCCAGCAATGAGAATCTAAGACAGTATTACCAATGACTCCGACATGAGCCTTGTGAGCCATGAAATATTATAAATGCTTGATATCTACAGAGACACCAAGAACAAATTCAGTAAGTGAAGGGAGTATAGTCCATTCACTCAATATGATCTTCCAATTTCTAAAAGCAGGTGAGTTTCTTTTAAGAATACACTGATCATCTAAAAGATATCCACACACAGTTGTATTGAATTATTTTTGGAGGAGCGAAGATATATATTAACAAATATTAAACATAAGGTTGAAAAGTTCTGACTTGATAAGGAATGGTCTCTAAAACACTTTAACAATAATGAGTGGAGCAAAAGTAAGAAAAGGAAAACACAAAAGGAAAAGTGTGCAGAGGACAAAGGCAGGTAACTAATAACAACCAGATCAAGGCCAGCTGCGTGAGTCAAGCTGGCCACTATCAAGGGGCATAGGAAAGTATCACTGAGCACTCTTAAAAGACTCCTCTCTTTCCAAAGCTCCTGGCTTCATCAACAGTGGCATTTTATATCTTCAAGATGAGATGTCGTAAAAATGTTTAAAATGTACTAAAAGAGTTCTAGCTGAATAGTAAATATTTCCAAGAGAATTAAACCCACTAGACAATGTATGTGACTCCAGATACTGTTTTATTGACTTGCTTAATTCTGGTTGTGAAAATCATACTGTAGTTTTCACTAGAAGGTAAGTGAAATTTTCTCTAAGCCACTGGCATCTCAGTTTTTAGATATGAGTTTCCCAGGTCAATCCATGATTATGTGGATACAGACTCTATGGATTTATCAAGGATAAGTTATCATTCAGTCAATAATTCAGTGATGATTCCCTTTTTACAAATATTGGGTGAAATATAGAGTAATTAGAGATTAGTTTAATAACCAGGGTTTCATAACCCTGGAAGTTAAAGATTTGAATGACAAACAATAGCTGCATATAAGTGGGATTTTTCTTTTTTACATTAGTACATAGTTTTACTTAGTTTACTTAGTTTTACTTCTATGTAACTAAAATGAAGTTTCAGTAAATACTTAAATTTCCTTTAATTTGGGGTTGCCAAACTGCCATCTCAGAAGAGAGATCCATTGGGTTACCTACAGGTCCTGGGCCTCAGTGGTCTGAAACTAACAGGTATACATGTTCATTAGCAACAGGAAGCCTAACAACCAGTAAATCAGCTTAAATTCCATCAGTCATCAGCTGTGAAAAGCAGATGAGGTCCACAAAGACTCAGCCTGAGAGATATGCTTGAGACTCTGAAAAAGGGTTGATGAGGGACAGTGGAGTATGGGAAGCCTTCTTATCCTCTGGTTCTCAGATGGCTCCTGAAGGAAAAGGTGTTGTTGTTTGTTGTTGTTTTTTAAACTAACAAAAAGTCTACAGAGATGGAATTCTTATAGAAGTTGAATTCAAAGTTTGCAAGTTTCATTATGCTTTGTTACATATTCTTCATAGAGGAGAAAATACCAGTGTTTTCCACAAGTTACTTGAATCTTCAAAAATATACACTTACCGAAAATACTGGCACCTCGCTGCTAAAATTACCCTGTGGGCAGGAAAACGTTTCTTTTCCACAACAAATGTGACGTCACCATACTCCTCCCCAATCAGCAAGGCACCAATATGTTCAGACAAAATGTGCACATGGTCAATTTCCCCCACTGCAGTAAAGGGGCGAAGAGGGTGGCTGTTGCTCATCTTGTAGAATAGGTGATAGTCGTTGATCTATTATATAAAGAAGGGATAAGAATTAGTCAGGGGAGGGCAGTACACTTAGAAAATCACATACCATAAACATAGCTAAGTAAGAATTTAAAGTACTTTCAAACAAATCACATGAGAGAGATTTCATCATTACTGGTATTTCTATCAACCAATTTATTCTGGGAAGCAATTCAGCCTGACTCCATGAACTACAGTGCTACCTTCAGTGTTTTATCACACTAGGTTTTAAACAAAAATGCCAAGAAACAGCACTTGGGGCCATCATATTCTAGAACTGTGAAAAAAAAATTCAACAACCAGAACTCCTTTTGTAGCACATATCTATTTAATGAAGTTGGGTATAACTAACTGTACCCAGAAGGAGAGTCATTTGGACATAGATCTAGACCTAAATCATAAGCAGAATAAACTAAATCATCAGATTCCAAATACCTTCAGAGGTTTTGGTCTGAAAATATCTTAAATATTTTATTTAAAAAATTAATAATCTTCTAGAATCATAGAAATAGCCTGACATTTATTAATGAAATCTTAACCCCCTTCAAAAAAAAAACAAAACAATATTTTTCTCAAGACTGTAACTTCTAGTACAAACTTGCAGCTCTGATAGGAGGTTGCCTGTGCTTACCAGAACATTGTTACATTTAATCTCATTTACAGGCACTTCCTTACTTTTGTAGGCAGTGCTTTTCTACAGATGTAACTAGGAGCCAAAAGGTTAAAACTTGATTAACAGTCATATGTTAGAAAGGGGAGTTATGTCCTTTGAAAGCTAAATGTGCTTATATTCTTCAATCTCTCTAATATTTGCAGGTAAGGGTTTTCCAAGGGTAAATAAATAAGTAAGAGCCTTCACTGGCATTCAGGTGCCCCAGGTGAAGATGTAGCTGACAGCTACCCCTCTACTGCACCAGAGACTAGGGGCAATTGAAACAGATGTGCCTTCTTCACTAGATCTTCACACCTTCCTCAACTCTCCACTTTGACCAGGAGTAAAGGTTAAACTACTCTTCATTTTTAAACTTCCATATCTAGATCCATTATTAGCAAGGTATAGAAAAAGTGGTCTTTATACCCAGAAACTGCAGTGAAAAATCCTCACCGTCCAGGATCTCCAGTTACTTGCTACTCCAGTTACTTCCTCTACCCCCAACAGAGAGCAACAGTAAGGACTGTGACATAGAGGAACATGGAGGTTGAGTCAGGCAAGATAAGTGGACAAGCTCCGGCCCTCTATAGTAGGAGCATCAAAAGGATCCAGCATACCCCCCTAATTGCCAAGCAAATCCCTCTTCTTCAAGTACAAACTCCATTTGAAAGCCTTAACATGCATGATTTGATTGTTTAATGTATGACACAACAGTCTAATATAGGAGTTGGTAAACTTTCTGCAAAGGGTCAGATAGTAAATATTTTAGGCTTTACAAGCAATATGGTCTCTGTATAAAACACTGGAGCCAAAAACAGCCATAGACAATAAGTAAATGAATGAGCCCATGGCTATGTTCCAGTAAAACTATTTACTGAAAAGGGGCAGATTTAACTGTAGTTTGCCAAACTCTGCTCTAACACATGATCAAGACTGGCTATACTCTAGATAAAGGATCAGACTGTTTCTGGTTTTTGTTTTCTGGATGTGTTACCCACTTGATGTTCAAAATAACACGGTCATTTTCTGTGTCAGTCACGAAACTCTAAAATCTACTGGTACCTGACTTCAAAACCTCACTCCTCTTCAACCTGAACTCTCACATCACTGCCATATTTCACTGATGGTGTATGGCTCTAACAAAATAGACTCTTTCCTTGCCTCAACAAATGCAATGCATATACCCAGTGAATATATTCTCTGGCATAATATTCACTTAAAATTTTATCCAGGTCATAGGTGAGATGAAACGATTCTTGATAAGAAATTATTGATTTTTGGTTAACTAGCTCAAAGGTAAATTTATAAGTCTTCAACTGATACATAATAAACATCAATACTATATTTAGAAATATCTACCTTAATAGGTTCTCCAGATCTGTACCTCTTAATACATACAACTTCATTTTGCTGAATTTACATTTTAATCATGCTTTTCCAACTGAAGACATAAAGTGAATATTGCCAGGTATAGAAAACAGCCACTTACTATGGATTAAATAAAATTTTTATTTGCATATAAAATAATTTTAATTAGACCACTGACTGTCAATGAGCTTACACACATTGGAATTGTATGGGAGCTTTAACAAAGGGGTTGAAAAGGATGCTTCCACCCCACATCAGAAACTATGATTTAGTTGGCCTGAAATATTAATCACTCTCCTGAAGTGATTCTAACCAGCAGGCTGAAAAGGAGCCTCTGGTTTAGACTCTCTTGTTGTAGGGTCACATACCTTACTCGGGTGCACAAAAATACCCAAAATATCCACTGAGAAAATTCACGGAGAATTTGATTCCATTTTGAATCTTACTGCAAAGATGTAAATAGTGCCAACAAAATTACCAATGTTACATCTTATAAACAGAAAACATCTGAAAATATTTTTGCCCAATGCCCTGACTTAAGCGCGAAGTAATTAATAGCTTGGGTCTACCTAATTGCATTTTAAGAAGCATATTTTAGAAACACACATCTACAAAGTTAATTTTTTTAAACTTCCAATTTAAATGTGATAAATAAAATTGGAAAAAAATGTTAAAGTTCATTGAAGTAAACTGCTTATTGACTTGTTTCTTCTTAAGCTTTAAAACTTATTCTGCCACTGTCAACATATGTGATCCTTGACAAATTTTCTAACTTACATGAGATTGTTTCCACATCTGTAATGATATGGTTATAGATTCTTTTTAAAGTTATATTTTATAACTCTGCCACTGTCTTTTAATATCACTGTTTTGGCCTGACATATGAAATGAACTCTCACGACTCAGCATATGATTATACTCATGACTGTGATTTTTTACAGCCAAAGAACAGAAAGCAAAATTAGCAAAGTTTTTGAAAAAGTACATGAGGCAGAGTCTGAGAACCAGACATAAGCTGCCACAGGTCCTCTCCCAGTGGAACTACCTGTTAGAGACTCACTGCCCTGGGTATTTATAATGCGTACTATTCCAATAAGTAGCCCCTGTCTGGCATGTATTCAAATTCCAGACTCCCACAAGGAAAGTAGTGTTCAACATAAACTATATTGTGTGTACAAACTGCTTAAGTGAGCCACTTTTATCAATTGATGGCAGGAACCCTTCTAAAATCTAAGTTTCCATCTAGATGCCAGAGAAGGGCCAACCTTATAAGCAGACTTCCTAAAGATAGCAGTTCGGTCCTATGTTAGCCATTTCTGTACAGTTCAACTAGAGGATCTAATAATGTTAGCAAAAGCACTGAAAACAAGGAGCCTAAAAGTCTATCTGATGTACTTATTTAATCTTTGGTTTGGATTGGAGAGAGGAATATCAAGAAAATAGCCTACCCTACTTGCCCAAATGTATTCCTGACCCCTGACCTCCCATTGTGCCAGAAGCAAATAGTTTTAGGGACGGGTTTCTTCAAAATTTCAAGGATAAATCCAATGTTATTTAAACAATTCCTGTGCATATGGGAAGTAGTTTTCTGCTGCTTATGAAGCAATTTTAACCCTGACAGCAAGATGCCCATACCCACACTCTCAAAAACCAGCATAAATAACAAAAAACCTATGTAAAATATTGAAAAACAGAATTAAGCAGGATTCATGACACAGTGGGTCAATTACAAGAAGGACAGATGAATATTAGGAAAAATAAGTCATCAAAAGGTCAGAGTGGAAAAAAATCCTAAAATCATAATAAAATTAGCTCAATAAAAGCTAAAATATCCTTTTAAACAATCACTACTAAGTTTATTTTTAAAAACTTCTAAGTGAATAGGAATAAAAGGATATTTTCTTTTATTAGGATACTAATACATCCTTAACTTGATAACTACATGTATATACATATGTAGCCTAACTGTAACAGATATAAGCTTTTGGTTAATAAAACACCAGAAACATTCCTAGGAAATTCAGAAATAAGGCAAGGATATCTGCTCTTATCACTATTAACACTTTTCAGAAACAAAAGAAAATGAAATTAATTGAACCAAGTTAAAGATAAATGGATTAGAAAACAAAGAGGCAACATAATCACTATTGCAGATAATCTCATTGCCCATTTGAAAAATTGCAGATGATCTCATTGCCCATTTGAAAAATCCATGAGAATCAACTGAAAAAATATGAGAAAATAAGGGAGGTTCACTAAGGTGATCTCATAATATTATTATAAGAAAATATATAGTACTCTTGCATCCCAAAAACCAGCAGGTAGAAAATATGAATAAAAAGATTTGCAATTTATAATTGCAAAGCACAGGAATAAACTCATGGAAAAGGTAAAGGAAATTATCAAAGTCCATTGAAGAATTTAAGAGAAATAAATGAAGACATATACATTGTTTGGACACAAAAAGATCTAATGTTTAAAGAGATCAATCATCCCTAAATCAGTGTACAAAAAAAGTATATTCAATATTTTATTGTACTTTAAATGTTTTGAAACTGCAAAATTCAAGAAAACATTCTTGGTAGGGGTAACAGTTAAAAATTTGACAAATGGGCACACATAAAAAATTGAGAATGAGGGCAGCCGGGGTGGCTCAGCGGTTTAGCGCCACCTTCAACCCAGGGCCTGATCCGGAGACCTGGGATCAAATCCTGTGTCGGGCTCTCTGCATGGAGCCTGCTCCTCCCTCTGCCTGTGTCTCTGCCTCTCTCTCTCTCATGAATAAATAAAAAAAATCTTTAAAAAAAATTGAGAATGAGTATTGAGATTTTTATATTTATCCAGAAGCGTTTTAAGTTGAAAAACACAGTACTAATTAATATAGGAATTAAAAGTAATCCTAATCACAATCAAAACAGCGTTTTTAAATTAAATTGGGATAAAGGAATTCATCTGGAAGAATAAATATGTAATTTGGTATATG